TGTACAAAGTCATTTCTTAAAAACCCCCACACAAGATTTTTTTTTTTTTTTTCTTTTTTTCGTATGTGATTTTGTTTATTCCCTAAATATTGGCGTTATAAATCAAAAGCCTAAAGCACTAGTTTCTTTTGGCACATGTTTTAGACCGATCATGCATGCTCTTTAGCTTAAAATGTTTCATCGGTGGCTGTGTTTTCAGGATCCAAACAGCGGGAATTGGTGGTTGACTTGTGCAAAAAACGTAATAGGTTATTGGCCGGGGACACTCTTCACCTACCTTAAACATAGCGCAACCGCTGTGCAGTGGGGTGGAGAAGTGCATAGCCCTAATGTGGGGAAGAAGCCACATACGAGAACTTCAATGGGGAGTGGACAATGGGCATCTTACCTCTGGGCCCAAGCTTGTTACCACACCAACATTAGAATCAAGGACTATTCCATGCAGATCAAATATCCCACATATCTCTCCGAGTACGCTGATGAGTACGACTGTTATTCGACAAAGCTCCACCGGAAAACATATATGTCAGAGCCCCATTTTTACTTTGGAGGACCTGGCCAAAATTCTCGTTGTCCTTAATCTTCTGTTGAATTTGTCGATGTTCAGTCTCTTTTTTGTTTGTCCTATGTTGGAATTACAAACGTCCAAAGATGAAGATGATGACGTTTTTGGAATCTTAGAATTTTAGTTCCAAACTTTTCGTTTTAATTCTCTTTCAAATCGATCTTATGAGGAAAACCTGGTTTAATCAGGTTAATTTCGGTCAAATTCACAAAATTAAGGGTATAATTGGATTTCAATTGACATAAAGTTTAGATCACCAATTCTTAACAACAAAGCTAAAGATTAACAGATGACAAAAAAAAAAAAAAACTAAAGATTAACAAATCATTATAAAAACAAACAGTTATTTGTTTCCAATTTTTTTTATATTGTTTTTAGGTATATTCTTAGTAATCTAATTGAACAAAAGATAAAAGAATATGGGTAACTTAGAGCATCTCCACTAAAAATAAAGAAAATTTTGAAAAATAGTATTTTTTTAATTCAAAAATTATGAGAACCCTATGAAAAAGTTTCTTAGTTGAGATACCAATGAGAAACCCTCTCTTTCCTTAAAACATTAATACATGTCTTTTTTTTGTCTAAGTGGTTCTCACTTAATTTTTACAAATCATAACAGAAAACTATCAGTATATCAATTAAATAGTTTTTCTGTATTATTTCTTTTTTTATTCTTTGTCAACTTTTTTTTTTATAAATCTTAAAATAAAATTATCTATATTAAGCTCTATTATGCATAAGTTTAAATTATATCTTACTATCATTTTAATTGGCATTAACTAAGGTAAATACAGTATATTAAACTAATATTATTTTAGTTTGTAATTTGGTATGCTTAAAACTAACTAATACAATGAATATATTTAAAATGTAATTTGAAATATTTAAAAATACTTAATGAAAATTTAATATAATATTTATTACAATTAAATGATATTAAAATATTCATACTATATTGATGTAATTCCCATGGTATTTCACCTATAGAGATGCTATTATATAAAACCCATATTGAAATGGGAATCGTAGTAAATTTTATCTTGACTGAGAAGCGTGAATCTTATCGTCCATCAAAAGAAATCATCAGCAAAAGTAAAAAAAAAAATTTAGCCAAAAGGATGAATTATTATGAACCATTAAAAAAGAGTCAAAGGTTTAATTTGGGAGCAAAAAAAAGAAAGTCAAAAGAGAATCCATATAACTTAATGATTTTTTGGACCGACGTAAAAGCAAATCAAAATATAGGAGTAGTAATTACTAAAGCATTCATATTTGGTAAGTTGAGCTGTTTATAGCAAAAAGATTTTTTTTTACCATATACACATACGTTTCCCAAATCTGCAGATGATTGTTATGTATATATGAGATTTCCGTTTTTCTCAATCTTTGTGTGTGATAATATCATATTAATTGAAAAAAAAAAACACCTTTTGGTTTTATAAACTTTAATTTATAAGTATATATGAAGGTTCAAGAATCAAAGCCTGTATCCTAATGCTATTCCTTAAACCTAGGAAAAACACCACAAAAAGCCGCAATGAGATTGTTCTTAATACTTGTGATTTTGTGTGGATTTTACAATGAAGCCTATGGGAAAGGTTCTTTAGATATTGATATAAAATTGAAGGCTCTTAATAAGCCAGCGTTGAAGACCATCAAGGTATAGATTGAATCTGAATATGCAGTGATATAACATCTTGTGTACATTGTTTGTTAAATCGATTTCATTTTCTTGCAGAGTACAGATGGAGATATAATAGATTGTATCGATATCTACAAACAACATGCCTTTGATCATCCCGCTTTAAGAAACCACAAAATTCAGGTCAACAAATTCTACTTTATATTTTAGTAAAAGAATTTTGGTTATATTTTGCCTTGGACCCGTGTGCTTCAAGGTTCTATCTTTAGTTCTATACCTAACCTAAATTTATGCATGCAGATGAAACCGAGTGTGGAATTTGGTACAAAGAAGACTACTACTATACCAAACAACGGTTCTTCTGAACAAATTACGTCTCAGGTTTGGTCTAAATCCGGAAACTGTCCAATGGGGACAATACCGGTTCGTAGAGTTAGTAGAGAAGACATAAGCAGAGCCTCTTCACCGTCTGAATTTGGGAGGAAAACTCCTCACAGATACAAGTTTCTCGACAACGCACTTCAACACAAGGGTAATTTCAATATAACAGCAGAAAAAATAAATCAAGCCCAACCAAGGTTACGATCGGTACGTACTGTGTAAGATGTTAAATGATTTTTTTTTCTACTGTGTTATTCATTTTTAGTGGAGACTAATAAAACCTTCATATGGTTTAGCTAGAAACACTTATGCTATGTTGATGATGATATAGGAGGCATTTATTGTGGCCCTAGGGTACAATTTTGTCGGAGCTCAGTCTGATATAAATATTTGGAACCCTTCGAGGGTTGAGGCTAGCGACTACAGCACTGCTCAAATCTGGCTGGTTGGTGGTCTCTCAGATACTTTTGAGAGCCTAGAAGCTGGTTGGATGGTACGTTTTTACATCGCTAAAAGTATTGTACTGTACTTTGCTTTACAAGTAAACCGTGACCCGATTGCATGCCATTAACCTATTTTAGGTGAATCCGGCCGTTTTCGGAGACTCACGTACACGTCTCTTCATCTCATGGACTGTGAGTAACACCATTATATAACTACCAACTTTGAAATATCTCAAATCACTTACGTGAGTTTATAACTACTCCTTCTATTTGGATTTTCAGAGAGATGCATACACTAAAACAGGGTGCATTAATCTCTTATGCGCGGGTTTTGTGCAAACAAGTCAAAAATTTGCCCTTGGTGCAACCATTGAACCTGTTTCGAGTGCCTCGAGTACGCAATATGACATCACCGTTAGCGTGTTCCTGGTAACATTTTCTAGTTTATATATGATCATCATCCTTCACAGTTCTACAAAAACATTATAAAATTTTCCCTTTTTCGAATGTGTGTAATGCCCCAAAAAACTGGCGTTAAAAATATGAAGCTCGAAGCTATGATTTCCTTTTGAATATGTTTTGGAACGGACTTGTATTCTCCTTTAATGTTTTATCGTCGACCGTATTTACAGGATCCAAACAGTGGGAACTGGTGGTTGACTTGCGCAAACAACGTGATGGGTTATTGGCCAGGGACACTCTTCAACTACCTTAAACATAGCGCAACCGCTGTGCAGTGGGGTGGAGAAGTACATAGCCCTAACGTAATACTAAAGAAGCCACACACGACAACCTCAATGGGGAGTGGACAATGGGCATCTTACATTTGGGCCGAAGCTTGTTACCACACTAACATTAGGATCAAGGACTATTCCATGCAGATCAAATACCCCAAGTATCTCTCCGAGTACGCTGATGAGTATGAATGTTATTCTACAAAGCTCCACCGGAAAACGTATATGTCAGAGCCCCACTTTTACTTCGGAGGACCTGGCCGGAATTCTCGTTGTCCTTAATCTCATGTTGATTATCCTTTTTTTTTTGTAAGTTTGAATTACAAAGTGTGAAATGAAAAAAAAAGATTATTATCAACAGAAGATCTTCTCTCATAAGCTTAAAATTGGAAGATCAAACAAGTTTTATACTAGTTCTTTAAAATGGTTATCTATAAAATGTATAGTCATTGTATGCTACTCCCTCCGTTTCAAAATATAAGACGTTTTAGTTAAAAGTAGCAGATTAAAAAATATCCACTTTTAAAAAGTTCAACCAATCATGAATGAGACTGCATAGTATAAATAATCAGAAAATATTAAATTAATATATAATTTGCATAGAAACTTGAAAACGTCTTACATTTTGAAACAAAAATAATACCTCAAAACGTCTTACATTTTGAAACGGAGGGAGTAGTAGACTAGTAGTAGTACTTTTACACTATAGTCATTGTATGCTACAAAATGTATAGTCATTGTATGCTAGTAGTAATACATTTACCTAAAACGAGCAAATATTAAACCGTTTCATTTTCTGTGAAATATATATAAAAAGAGATTACATGTGTATTTCTTTTGTTGTAGAAATAGAAATAGCCTCGGTGGCAGCCATAATTCCAACAATAGTGCCTTGAGCAATGTCTTAAGATTAAAAAAATAAAAAATAATAAAAAAGTAAGAGAGAGGATAGACACAGTTTCTGGTTTGAGAAATTTTGAGAAACTGTGTCTCCACTTGTCTTTATATTATTGGTCAAATTCTCTTTTTATAATTTATAATTTAAATAAATAATTTATTTATTATAAAATAATTAAAATAATATTTTTGAGACATCCACACAATGTATGATAGATGAGATGGTCTTAGGTTTTGTTGACTTCCAATTCAAAAGTATATGGGGATGAATGGATTAAAAAAAAAATTATATTAGAAATAAAATTGGACAGACTAATATTAAAGCCTACGAAAGTGGAAAAAAATAGGGAGAGTGAAAAAAACAGAGCCAAATTAAAAGGAAGTCTCTTAGCTGTTCAATTGCATCAAGTCTTGTTACAATCTGAGCTCAAGAAAACACTCAAATCTCACACACAAACACTCGCGATACGAATTTGAAAATGATCGAAGAAAGATAAACTCAAGAACAAGAACACAAGACGTGAAATTGTTAACCCGGTTCAGCGAGATTGGTATGATCAAGCCTACATCCGGAGCCGAATCAATCCGGCAAATTCACTATCAATGAAGAAGAAATCAGCTCAAATGAGCTTACAACAATGGCTGATCTCTCGATACAAAAGATTGTTGCAACAGAAAACTAATGAAGAAGAATAGAGAGTCAAAACAACTTATGTAGTTGCATATCCAAAACAGCAAACCCTCCACTGCAGTTAGAGTCTTTGCCTTGCTTCTTCAATTCCGGTTTATTCAGCAATCCCAAACCCGAGATAACCGCCTGGTTCAATTCCTTCCAATTCAATCAAACCAACTGAACCAATAAGAATTGAATCAGAACAACAAACCTTAATAAGTCTTGATGCCGCGGTGGAAAGTTTGCATCAAGTTAGTATGATTTCAGACTACTTTTCACTAAGTTAGTTTAGCTACTTCGACAAACTAATTTCCGATGAGCGATATTTGTAACAAAGATACAACTAGTACTCTTTGGAATTGGAGTAGCTCGCAAAAGCAAATTACATTACCCTTTAGCATCTTTTTGGTAATATAATCAACATCCTTCACATTCTACCATTTTTTGCATTTTCTAGCTCTAATATGATCTATCTATGACAGTGCTCTAGGATACGAACAGCGGGAACTGGTGGCTCTTGTCTGAGGACATTGTGGTGGGATACTGGCCAGGGACACTCTTGAAAGACTTAAGACACAGCGTCACCGCAGTGCAGTGGGGTGGAGAAGTCTACAGCCTTAAAGTGAGGAATAAGACACACCGAAACTTCAATGGGGTGGAGAGTGGGCATCAAAAGTCTATGGCAAAGCCTGTTTCTTATAAAATAATGTACTCTTGGTTTGGTGAGCCTGACAATATCGTATCCCATACCGTGCATTCTTACAGGAGAAGACGAGTAGCATGATTTAAGGCCAAATTTCATTTAAAACTGAACGGTATATATAGACATTTTTATGCCGAATTTTCAGGTAATCAAAGTAAACTAACCAAAATATCTATTGAAATTTACTATCTTAATTAAATATAAATAATTACTTTTTATAAGAAAAGTACATTTAGATACTAAAACTTATCATCATCATTTAAATTAATTAATTTATGATGATTTTTATCGAAAACCGAATTGTTTTCAAACCGAACATTCATATCCCTAGAGATATCCATATGTTAACAAAATCGAGCCCAAACATTTTTAAAGTCGAGTTCCAAAACAGATCCAAAAGACTAACTAGCGCTTTAAAATCACTAAAAATCTAATATTTAAAATATTGAATAACACTTCTTCAAATCATCAATAACAAAAAAATATTAATAACACTGAATTTTATTAAAAAAAATTAAAAACTGTAATTAAATAACAAAAAAAAATTGTCATTTTAACACAAATTATTTTAATTGTTTGATTGAATATATTTTCTAAAAATGTTATGTCTTATATAGACTAAAATATTTTGACAACTTTTTTTCAATATTGGCGTATCCATTATATTGGTGAAAGATTCCCAACTTATAAAAACAACCAATTTTTAATTCTCTTCCTAATAATTTATTCCCAAACAAAGAAAAAGGCAAATCGCGACCCGTCTCTCTCTCTTCTTAAAATCCAAAGATCAAAAAAGCGACACTGAAAATGGAAAACCGGTCAGAAATGGGTAACCGGAGGCAGCAGAATCTCTTCCTCATAGCTTCTCCCGACGAGATTGATAAGATCCGTCGAGCCGAAACTTCCAGTCAAGGTCACTTCTTCTCTCTCCGTCTCTCTCTCTTTTTTTCTTCTGAAAAATTCTTTAAAATTGATTATTATTTTGGGTATTTTCCAATTATGGTTCAGCCGGAGCTATTGCCGGAGCCAAAGCAGCCGCCGTAGCCGCCGTCGCCAGTGCGATTCCCACAGTAATAATATCTAATTTTTGATCACACTGTCACATCATCTCCATCATAGAAAATAAATTTGAAATTGAGATCTTAAATGAATTATGATGTAAGAGCTATGTTTCTTTGTTGTTGATTTTATGACAAAAGTGACTCAACAATCTCATGTTCTGCATTAATCAAGAGTTTCAATTTTGTTACCTATTCATTTTGTGATTTTTGTTCTTGTGAAATTTTGAATCACCAAGTAGAGTCACATTCTTTTTGATGTGTGTATAAAGATATGAGTTAGGACTATAAAACCTGAGCTTGCCTTGTTATCGTAACAGGTAGCTGCGGTTCGCGTGTTCCCGTGGGCAAAGGCAAACCTCAACTACACAGCTCAGGCACTCATTATATCTGCAGGTTAGCTCTCTCAACTCTGTGTTCTTCCTGGAACTAAGTAGAAAAATATACAAGCTTGAACATTGTTGTAGAAACCTCGAAATGCTCGATTAAGCTTCGAACTTTTGAATCTATGTTGAGTTCGTGGAAGCATTGATGAGTTTGTGGTTTTTTATTGTTCAGAGATTTTAATCCTCCTAAAGTTTCTGTTAGTTTTCTTCTGATTCCTGAAAGTTTTTATCTTGTGAATTTGGTGATCATCGGAACAGCTTCTATCGCTGCGTTCTTCATAACCGCGGACAAAACCATTCTACAAGGCGCGAGAAGAAACACCGAGGCTCAGTTAAAGAAAGCTCAGCAAGACTCTAAATAAATTCTCTTCTTATTGTAACTCAAATACTCAATCAATCACCATGTTTCTCTGTTTTTGTATGCAAGTTTTGCCTTGTTTCTAAATAAAAGTGTTATTATTACAAGGAATATCAAATTTATAAAGACCATTTTTATTCAGAGTTTCAGATCTTAACTAAAGCTTTGCTTTGCTTACACAAAACATAAGTGAAAAACCAAAAAGGTTTCTAATACATTTGTACATTCTAGATCTCCAAAAAAACAAACCTCAAAAATTGTGATTATTTATTATACAAGACCTAAATCTTCATCTTCTAAGTTCTGATTATTGATTATACAAAACCTAAATCTTCATCTTCTACCCTTTTACTTGTTCTCCGACCCGATAAACTAACTAGTAGAGGTGCCTCATGTGCCTCTGTTGCAGTCTTTTTCGTTGCACCAAGCCCTTGTTGGCGCAGAACATACAAGATCTCTTTCATGGAAGGTCTGTGACTTGGCAATGTGTTAGTACACATGAGACCTAGCTTGAAAACTGTTGTCATCGCCTCTGTCGTGGAAGCTTCTTTGATGTCCTCATCAAACGCCTCTGCGGTCGGTTTCCCGGATTGGTAATGTCTCCATGACCAATCTGCTAAGTTTGTGTGTTCGTCTCCGTTGTTTCCTTCTCTTCCAGTCACCAACTCTAGCAAAACTACCCCGAAGCTGTACACATCGATCTTCTCATCTACCTTCGATGTATATGCGTATTCTGAAACACAATGAAATATACATTAGAGACCTAAACTAATATATCAGGGACATAGCCACTCCACTCATTTATCAATTGGTTTTGAACTTTGATAATGAAAAAGGGTATTACCTGGAGCAATGTAACCGAAGGATCCAGCAACAGCTGACATGGTATGAGGTTGTTGGTTTTGCTTAATCAACAGTTTGGCCAACCCGAAATCTGCAATCTTCGCGTTGAATTCAGAATCAAGCAAGATGTTACTTGACTTAACATCTCGGTGTATGATCGCGGGAGTGCAATCGTGATGCATATAGCAAAGTCCTTGAGCTGCTCCAACCGCAATATTCAACCTTTGTGGCCATGTCAGGTTATTAGCAGCTACAGTACCTCCCTTCTTCTTGCCATGTAGCCACTGATCAAGACTGCGTTTCTCGAGATACTCATACACCAGAAGCTTAGAATCCTCCCTCGAGATACAACACAGTAGTTTCACGATATTCGAGTGCCTAATCGTTCCAAGAATTTCAACTTCAGCAATAAACTCCTTCTCAAGTTTCTGGTCCAGTTTCTTGCTGTCCCATATTCTCTTCACCGCCACGCATTGTCCCGAGCTTTCGACAAATATCTTGTAAACTTTGCCCGATCCGCCACTCCCGATCACATAGTGTTCCATCAGATTCGACACTATATCAGACTCCGCAAAATCTACTCTATGAAATGAAGTTAGTTTCCACGTTTCTAGACCTCTCCTCCTTTGTTTCCTTGTGTAATCTCGAATCACAAAGAACGTAACAAACAGAGTAATGGTGAGAAGCAGAACAGCGATGACTAGAATCATCGCGAGGATTTTCCCCGGAAACCCTCTTGATCCCCGGCGCTGTTTCCGACAATCCGGTAAATTGAGAACTGGCTTGTCTGCACAAAGATTGGAGTTGTTCAAGAAACTTCTCTCGTAAGCAAGATTATCAAGTTGCTCTGGGATTCCTCCGGTGAGTCTATTTGATGACACATTAAGTGTTGTCAGCTTTAGACTCCCGATCTCCGGTGGGATTTCACCGGAGAATTGATTCTCCGATAGATCAAGATTGAGCAAACGTGGCAACAATCCTAAAGCTCTCGGAATTTTCCCGGAAAGCTTATTCTTGGATAAACTTAACGTTATCAACGACTTCCATGAGATGATATCATCCGGTAATTCACCGGTGAGATCATTCTCATCGAGAAAGATCGATAAAAGATTCGAAAGAGAAGTCAATTCCTTCGGTATCTCACCGGAAAACCGATTGTTTCCCGCCTTAAACTCAACTAGAGAAGACCAAGTACCGATTTTCCGAGGAATCACACCGTAAAATCGATTGTTATCAATCTCGATCCTCGACATATTCCAAGCAACATTCTCCGGTAATTCTCCGGTGAATGAGTTGTTACTCACCTGTAAACTATACATACTTGAAGCAGTCCAGATCCTAGAAGGAAACTTGCCGGAGAAGCCATTGTTCTGTAACTGAACCGTCAAGAGCGTTCCACAATCTCCGAGAGACTCCGGGATTTCTCCGGTGAGATTGTTTGAGTACACAACCACGCCTTGAAGTTTACCTCTTTTGCATAAACTTTCCGGTAACTTTCCGGTTAACTGATTCTCCGAAACTTCGAATCTCTCCAGCTTTGAATAAACTCCAAACTCCGCCGGTATTTCTCCGGTTAACTTGTTGGTGAAGATCTTAAACTCCTTCAATTCCGGTAATTTTCCGATAACCGGCGGGATTTCTCCGGTTAACTCGTTGTTAAACAGGTTTAACACTTCTAATTTCGTTAGATTTCCGATTGATACCGGAATCGAACCGGTTAAATTATTAGCGGAGAGATCAAGAAATACCATGTTCGTCGCCGAAATTGATTTGGGGATTTCACCGGTTAAGTCATTAGCGTAGAGATAAAGCTCGGTGAGGTTCTTCAACCCGAATAAAACATCTGGGATCCGACCCGTTAAATTGTTGACCGATAAGTCAACGTGTTTAAGATCCGTCATGTTTTCGAAAACAACGGCTGAGATTTCTCCGATCAAATTCATCTCCTCTAACCACATGTACTTCAGGTTCTTCAATTTCCCAAACTCCGTCGGAATTTTCGCCGGCGTAAACTTATCGTTCAACGCTAATCGAAGTTCTTCAAGCTCGACCAAGTCTCCGATCTCCGGCGGAAACGAACCGTCGTATTCACTCTGGTACAGATTCAATACCTTGAGCTTCGAGATCCGTCCGATATTCTTAGGGATATCTCCGGCGAAGGCGTTAGCTGCTAAGTCGAGATAGTCGAGTTCCGGTGAGAGACGGTCGATGTCGACGGGAAGTGAGCCGTTGAAAAGGTTCTGAGAGAGATCGAGATATTGAAGCTTCGTGCAATTGTAAAGAACCGTCGGAAACTCGCCGGCGAAGTAATTAAACGACAAATCGAGGAAATTGAGATTCGACAAATCGCATATCGTCGTCGGAACTGTCCCGGTGAAGTTCTGGTTCTTGAAATTGATCCCAGTGACATTCCCGGCGGTGCAAGTGATCTCCGACCAATTGCACGGTGAAGATGTGTTGTTCCATAGTTGGAGAGACGGTGGATCTCCGAGATCGCGTTTCACGTTAAGAAGCGTTGACTGGTCGTTGGACTGGGAAAAGACGGATAAGGGTATTGAGGTGAGGAAGAAGAAGAGGAAAGGTAAGGGTAGAAGGGTCATTCTTTAAGTTTTGTTTGTTGAGGTTTTGCCGGGAAATTTCTTCGGCAACCGAGTTTGACTGTGAATGTGAAACGGATACAAAATAATGAAGAAGTTTTCAAGTTTTAAACTCTTTATAGAGAAGAAGTTATTAGGTGAAGTCATCGATGTAATGATTTTCTTTTCCTTTTTTTTTTAAAATCAAAAAAGAGATTTGATGTTTGGGTACTCTGTACGTCATTGTATATAGATATGTGACGATTAAACACTTTTAGTTACTTATATACAAGTACAACTTTGTGATTAGGAATTTTATTTTTGTTTTGTCTACATTAATAGCAGAACCATGCAACACTAAGCTATATCAAAAGCCGACTAAAAAATATACCCCAGTTCAATAGAAAAAATAATCTACATAAATAAACACCATAGTCGAAAAAAGAAAAATTTGTTCTAAAACATTTTTTTTTTCCATTTTTTTCTACAAAATGGTTAACCAAACTTTTAGAATCAACGTTTCTAACCAATTCTTTTTCGATGGATAAGATAGCCAAGTCACTCAAGCTTTGAAAAACTTCTTTCAACAAGATGCAACCGAAACCAAAATCGTCAATACTTTAATTAATTTAAGTAATTGTTTGTTTTTTAAAGATTTATTAATTAAGCTCATGTGACCAAATCAATGGATTGTTGAAGCTCAATATTTATTTCTTATTATTAACACATTATTTTCAGCATAAGTCCCATATAAACATATTTTTTTTTTTTGGTAGGCAGTCCCATATAAACATATTTATATAACTCTATTAAGAGTAAATATATGCCCCTAAATTTTTTCCAATAATTTGATGCCCTAAGCAAATGTTTAAATTTTCTCTGGCACATCTCTGATTAATAGTACTCCCTCTGTCCCATAAAGATAGATTTTTTAGAAATTTCACATTCTTTAAGAAATAATGTAAAATGACAATTTGAACTTTTTAACACATTTTAAAGAGTATATTATTTATTATTGTTTAAAAAGGGTAAAATAGGTAAACAGTTTTAAATTTGACATTGGAAACACAAAACTTATGTGGGACAAATTGTTTTTCTAAACAATTCATCTTTGTGGGACGGAGGAAGTATAATGTAAGGAGTTTAAAACGTAATTATGCAATTTTGCTATTTTGGTAAGACGACGATGTCTGCGATTTTGGCAAAAGAATATTATATGTAATTTCGATGCAAATTTGTAATTTATTTTAATGTAAAACGTTAAATTTATATTTTTTTTAAAACAACATAAAATGAGTTATAATTGTAAATGATGGCATTTTACACATTTTCAATTTCTAAATGGAGTATTTATATCTGAACGTATTTTAAACTTATCTAAAATTTCTAAAAATATTTTCTGACTTTAATGAATCTATATATATATATATATATATATACTAGTATTTTTGAAATACATTTTTAGCGGGTAGGTTAAATTGTTATCCGACAAATTTGGTATCTGACCCGATAAAAAATTACTTCACAAATCTTACACCGGATAGTTCATATCTTTTTTGGATCGGTCAAAACATATCCAAAATTATGAACCGGATATTCCATATTTAAAAATATAGATATTTAGAAGATTTGATTAAGATTTATAAATACAATTCTCATATCATCTTTGTTTGAATATTTTTTAACTGTTTTGAATCGTCATATATATAATACATAATGTTAAAACAAATCTCAAATTTTTTTGCATATATTGGGATTCGAAATTTTTAAAACGGATATATATTACCTAATTGATGAAAAAGGTGTGTGTTTAACGTCCAATATCGGCTAAAATGTTTAGATATTGATTCAGAATCATATTATAAATAAGATCAAAATGAATCCAAATCCGAATGAACAAGAAGCTCAACTTAATAAGCATCCAAATTTAAAGTTAGATTCCGTTTCATTCGGTTTTTTAGTTTAACTGCTTAATTTTACCGGAAATGTTAAGTTTTAAACTTTTAAAAAGTTTTAAATAATATAAGTCATATATTTAAAATCAATAAAAAGTTTATAATATTATGAACATTTGAATATATATAAAAAATTATAATAACACGACACGGGTTATATTGGTAGACATGGTTATATAACCGGAAGAGTTTTTTAGAAGTTTTAAATATTACAATTCATACATTTAAAATCAATAAAAAGTTTATAATATAAGAACATTTAACATGGGATGGTGTTATATTGTAGTACGGAGTTATAATATGATGGGACGAGTTTGAATCAAAAAAATTTAAAACATCATTAACCCGCTGCTTCAATACGGTTAAATCTTTATTTTATTACTTTTTTAACACCAATAATATTATACATATCGAATGATCCTGATTAAAGTAAATTGTATAAAACAAAAACTCTTTTGTGATATACCGTTACTTAATAACAATTGTAGACTATAAAATATAAATGTCTTATAAAATGATACAATTTGCAAAAAAATTTATATAATATATAACCATTAAATTTTAAAAATCACTAATTTTAAAAACAAATCATTCGCGGTACACCCCGGGTTAATTACACATATCCAGCAGTTACAAAAAAGTGATATCGGAAAACAAAATGGAACCAGAAAAAGGGATCGAATCCTGGTGATACCACCGGAAGCAGACAGCCCTTCATGAACTCAGGCGGATGCAAGGTCCACAACTTCACACGACAGAGTCGAGGGACCGAAAAGTAGCGACGAAAGCATCTGATTTCCGTCACCATTTCTCTGCCTCCAACCCACCAATCCGCCACAAACCTCCCATAATGAGCATCTATCTGACAACCCGCGTCTTCGTCTTCCGATCCCGTTCCTAGCAACCGGACGAACTCAGATGTATCTATATACTTCATCTAGTTGATATGTTAGAATAATTGTTTTAAAACATCTTGTATATGCATCGATTCATCAAGATGCACAAACGAACAGTCCGACTAGTGTGTATAAAGGTGCTAAGAATAAAAAATCCTAGACAGTTTTGTAGTATTTGTTGGGGGCTAGATTGCACCCCTTATTTTAGCTCGGCCCAAATCAAGAATAACTTAATAAACATCAAGCCCTAAAAAAGCCCATAAAAGTTAGTCCATGTTTCTCTCACCAGCTTAGTTTTCCTATAAATAGGGAGGCATCTCATTGAAGAAAGGGGGAGGAAAAAAGGAGAAGAAATCCATACTAAAAACGTCTTCAAGCTCTTCAGCTCGTCAACAAGCTCTTCAGCTCGTCTTCAAGCTCTTCAGCTCGTCATCAAGCTCTTCAGCTCGTCATCAAACTCTTCAGCTCGTCATCAAACTCTTCAGCTCGTCATCAAGCTCTTCAGCTCGTCATCAAGCTCTTCAGCTCGTCATCAAGCTCTTCAGCTTGTCATCAAGCTCTTCAGCTCGTCATCAAGCTCTTCAGCTCGTCTGCAAGCTATTCAGCTCGCCTTCAAGCTCCTCAGCTCGTCATCAAGCTCTTCAGCTCGTCTTCAAGCTCTTCAGCTCGCCTAACGATCCAGATCGTCAATCTCATCTCCCGGCTCGTCTAGCTTCTCAGCTGACTGCTCAACTCATCCAACTTCTCAGTTAAACAGCTCAGCTCGTCCAGCTTCTCTGCTGACTGCTCAGCTCGTCCAACTTCTCAGTTAAACAGCTCAGCTCGTCTAACTTCTCTGCTGACTGCTCAGCTCATCCAGCTTCTCAGTTAACAGCTCGGCTCGTCCAAATCGTCCCCAAGCTATCCAGCACGTCAACAGATCGCCTAGCTGCAAATATGGCCTAGCCCCCACTTGTTTTAATATGAACTACGAATGGCTTGATCCCTTTCTAAGGGTACGTAGGCAGTCTTTCACAAGACGCAGCTATAAAACAAATAAACTCTATGTTTATCGCGAGAACGGCCTAGCTCCCGACCTTCAACGCAATGAGAATGTTTTTTCCTTATCAAAGAACTTACAAATATACTTTGTTGAAATTCGTGCATCAACAGTTGGCGCGCTAGGTAGGGGGAATAAATAAATTCTCCAGCCAAGAAGGTCGAGATTAGGAAGTTTCCAGCTCTTGCTGAGCTCGTCACTTGTTTCATCTTTCTGCATTGTTTCAGCTCGTCCATCTGTCAGCTCGTTTGTCTGACAGTTCCTTCTCGTCAACTATCAGCTCGTCCGTCTGACAGTTCCAGCTCATCCACTGTCAGCTCGTCCGTCTGACAGTTCCAGTGCTAACCGTCAGCTCGTCCATCTGACAGTTTCTTCTCGTCAAACTGTCAGCTCGTCAATCTGACAGTTCCTTCTCGTCCATCTGTCAGCTCGTTTGTCTGACAGTTCCTTCTCGTCAACTGTCAGCTCGTCCGTCTGACAATTCCAGCTCGTCAATTGTCAGCTCGTCCGTCTGACAGATTCTTCTCCGTCAACTGTCAGCTCGTCTGTCTGACAGTTCCTTCTCGTCCACTGTCAGCTCGTCCGTCTGATAGTTCCTGCTCGTCAACTGTCAGCTCGTCCGTCTGATAGTTCTTGCTCGTCAATTGTCAGCTCGTCCGTTTGACAGATTCTTCTCCGTCAACTGTCAGCTCGTCTGTCTGACAGTTCCTTCTCGTCCACTATCTGCTCGTCCGTCTGATAGTTCCTGCTCGTCAACTGTCAGCTCGTCCGTCTGACAGTTTCTTTTCCGTCAACTGTCAGCTCGTCTGTCTGACAGTTCCTTCTCGTCCAATATTTGCTCGTCGATTTGACAGTTCCTGCTCGTCCACTGTCTGCTCGTCCGTCTGATAGTTCCTGCTCTTTAACTGCCAGCTCGTCCGTCTGACAGTTTCTTCTCCGTCAACTTTCAGCTCGTCTGTCTGACACTTCCTTCTCGTCCAATATCTGCTCGTCGATTTGACAGTTCCTGCTCGTCAACTGTCAGCTCGTCCGTCTGACAGTTCCTGCTCGTCAATTCAACAGTTTTCACTGTAAGTTTTTCCTTATTTACATTTAAAAAAAAAAAAAAAAAAAAAAAAACCGAGCTCCGTGCTCGCAAAGTTTCGACGACCAAATGTTGTAAGCCGAGGCCGAACTCGCACTTTCGAGATCCGTCAAACTATTACGGGGTAAGCCGATCATCGAGCGTCGCACCTCATGATGTCTCGAGTCCGTCTCGAACTCCAGACGTTTTCTGGAAAGCCGAG